CTTTATTTGTCTAACGACGATCGCTAAACAGCGTATTACTATGCATATCAATATTTTTTAGTCGGTACTCCAAAGGTCCTAATACGAGAGTACTTATCTCCATTTCGCGGCAACAAGGTGCTGTTGAGGGTGCTGTTGGGGGAAGGGGGGAGGGGATACCTGCTGTTTGTGGTGTTTAAATTTCATACAGAACTCATGTAATTCTTCGTCAAGAATACAAAATAGCCTGATTTACAAAGTGTCATAAACACTTTCTTATTTTTTTCCGGAATGGACGTAGAAATTCAACTGAAAGGGCAGCTACACAACTCCGAATTAAAAAAAAAACTGGTTATTTTTATTTAAAAGATGCTTTGGGGTAAAATTATACATTTTGAGGCAAAGAAATGCCAGGTTTTAAAAGCTGTCTGCTTACTTTTTCATTGACACGAAAAGTCAAAAGGGCTCTCATTTTACTCAAGAGACCTGTTTCTAATCGCTCCTAGAGTTTGCTGTTTCATCTACCCCCAAATTCTTTTCCCCTAATGTTTAGTTGGGGTGCCTGTTTTTAATCTGAATATAGTTTCGTTGATTAAATTAATGTATCAGAATGCTTTTCCGATCCTTGTTTCTAGCAAGTAGTATAAAAATTCATCAAAAATTGCAGTTTGTTTTAAGTAAATTTGACAACTTTAATAACTTCAAGAAATAAGAGTGATTTATTCCTTGTGTAATCTTTTCTGAAAAGCTTTCAATATATAGACACAAGCATCTGGAAGAGTGCCGATTTTGGTGTAAATTTTGCGAGCCCCCGAGCGAAAAACAAAAAACATTTTCACCAGTTTACCAAGACCTTTATTCTGAGAAAATCGATTCTTTTTTATCTTGCATACCTTTAATCGGTTCCCACAGCAAACCGTTCTCAATTATCTCCCAAAAATTTCTACTTCGTTACCCTCAAACAAAGCACTTTCTCGAACTAAAATTTTAAATATGCCTTTGTCAATCAGATACTATTATATCTCAATCGATTACGCGTTATCGGTACAGTTCACAGAAACAAGCTTGAATATTTCTGTTTACAACTGTACGGCCCCGCAAATGATCCCAGCCCGCAATTGATTCCCGTACCGGAAGTGATCCCCAACCGCAAATGATCCCGGGACCGGAACTGATTCCACTGCAAAAAGTCGGGAATGGCGTGGACTCCATGAAAAGTCTATGGATGGATACATATTTTCTTAATTATCCTAGGTGAAGAAAAGACAAGTACTTCAGGCATAAAAGCAGTAATAAAAAACGTTTCTCATACTGCGCAAAATACTAAATTGACGTGTGTCGACTGCATAAATGTTTCGTTTAGGAAACGCACTGCAAAAAGAAACATGAATCTTCGAAGGTGCCTCTGCCACCTAATTAACCGCTTAGAACTTTTCCCTGTACACTTCTTATACCTACGTCCTAGATAGCCACGGGCTCCCACGAAAGTCTCTAAGATTCCTTCGTGCTGGTTACCGTAGTAAAAATGTAGTCAATCCACTTGGGAATTCTCAGTTGGCCCCAAATTTGAGGATATAGTGAACATCCTGTGTTATCATACATGTCAGGCCCAGACCCAATAAAGTCATTCAGGGAATTGGATCCAGCTAAACTACAAACTTCAAACACAGGATTTCGTAACGTTGAGTATCATTTTTAAAATTGTGAAATTTGCCTTCAAAGCGTTCATACTGCACATATTCTTGAGTTTCATATAGTAACTGTTGTATCAAAATATTGTATTATTACTGTGAAACTCAGAAAACCCTCAATACCAGAAATATTTAAGGATTATTATTGTGCAGTAAGGAAAAAGCCAATTAAGCGTGAGAAAACTAAACCGCAAACACCAGCGGTAATAGGCCACATTTTTTGAGATATCAATGTTCTAACATGGCTCCGAGGCTTTCAGGACAACTTTTATGTTTGGTTGTGTTTTCTTTGTATCCAAGTCTCTTTTGGGAATTGAAAGACAAAGGAAACTTAAAAAAAATTTGCAATTTTGACCCGAAAGCCTCGGAAAGCCTTAGAATATTGATATATCGAACGTGCCCTATTGGTTGTGGTTTTGAGGTTTTCTCGCTTGTCCTGAACTTTATAGTGATTGGTTCAGTACCAAGTTAACCTTTTGGAATCAAATCCAAATGTCCACGGTTTTCTGAGTTTCACAGTCATAAAAAAAGCGATTGAATAAATTTAAAATCCACTGTCCAAATTCCTGAGTCCCCACATTTCCAAATTTTATGGCGAGGCGACCATTTCCGGCCCAGGATCATTTATGGTACAGTCTGGGGATCATTTCCGGTCCTGGGATCATTTGCGGTACAATTTGGGGATCATTTGAGGTACGAGGATCATTTGCAGGCCGGGATCATTTGCGGGGCCGTACAGTTCTGTATTGAGTCACAGTATATCACATCTATATCACCTCTATTTTATTAATAAGCTACAAAACAATGTACGTTTACAACTGCTATTAACTAGGGCGTCTATTTAATTAAAGCCTATTGTTTCTGTTTACATTCGGAGCACAAAAAGATTAGGAAATTTATTCGCTTTTATTTCCATTTCACTGCATAACAACAAGTCTAGTTGCTCACAATTAAAAATTTAGACTAGAGTGAAGGTGTGACTAGAGTGAAGTGTATGTCAGTACCAGTGGTATATCAAAATTTCGTGAACGTAATTATGCCAAACGCTCGTCAAGTAAAGCTTTGCCTTTTTGATTTCGCCATTAAGGGAAAATCAAGTAAGAAGCGATCAACAGCAAGTGCTACATATCTCGTACACTGACAAAACAAATAAAGGTATTAGCAGCCGCAAATATTTTTTTCCATTTCTGATCTGGGATTGAGGAAAGTTTTGTACATTCCCTGGAACTCGCGGTGTGGAATTGGGTTTGTTTTTTGGCAGATGCAACTTTTT